CCCATAACCCCAGCGCCACCAGCCCTTACCCCAAAACCCGACCACCTTGAAAGCCCCTAGCGCCCCAGAGCTCTTACTCCTAAACCCTAAACCCGAAACCAGTCAAGGCTCAGACGGTGCGGATACCACAGCCTCGAAGCTGCCTACTGCATTGGAGTGTTGCCCTTGAGGCGCCCCCCTGCTGGTAGGGTTTAGGGTTTAGGGTTTAGGGTTTAGGGTTTAGGGTTTAGGGTTTAGGGTTTAGGGCTTAGGGTTTAGGGTTTAGGGTTTAGGGTTTAGGGTTTAGGGTTCGAGGGTTTGGAAGGCCTAAATCTATAGAAGCCCTCGAAACCCTGCCAAGTCCTTAAAACTTTTTAGTTAACTTCCGCAAGCCCTCACAACCTTGTAAACCCTCGACCTTTCACGTGCCCCCCTCCCCCTTCAAAGAGAAGAAGCGTAGAAGATCAATTGCGGGAAATTCAATAGATTGTACATGTAGGGAATTTCAAGGTCTTACTCAAAATTCCCCTTAAGGTTTCACAGGCTTAGGGCTAGTTGGGGTCAGCTTCAGAAACCTGAAAAAGTAGAAATACAGTCCTGTTATACTTGTACCTACACTTTAATTACGAGATTACTTTGGTATTTAGGCTTTAAGTGCCAACAGAGAGTATTTGGTATGTTTTTTTTTGGGGGGAGGGGGGAATCCTAGCTGGGGTTCCAGGATTGGTCGTGACCATCCAACCTGCGATCTGAGCTTTGCCCATATATCCCAGTACAGGTATAACATACACGGAAATTGCCGCGCGGCTGGCCGCCTTTTTTTCCGTCTAGTGTTTATAAGGGCTTAGGGTTTAGGGTGGATTTAGGGTTTAGGGTTTGGGGTTTGGGGTTTGGGGTTTAGGGTTTAGGGTTGACCCAGCAGCCCATGAGTCTGCGGCAGGTTTGTGCGGTACGACTACATCTACTACGATACATCCCGGTGTGCTGCCACAGCCTTAGCCCTCTCAGGTTCTCTGACCCTAAACCCTAAACCCTAAACCCTAAACCCTAAACCCTAAACCCTAAACCCTAAACCCTAAACCCTAAACCCTAAACCCTAAACCCTAAACCCTAAACCCTAAACCCTAAACCCTAAACCCTAAACCCTAACCCTAACCCTAAACCCTAAACCCTAAACCCTAAACCCTAAACCCTAAACCTGAGAGCCGGAAGCTGCCAAGACTCTGGGGTTCTTCCAGCGAAGGCTCTCCCAGGAACACATGTTTGGGGTTTAGGGCTAGGGTTTAGGGTTGAGGGTTTGGGGTTTAGGGTTTGGGCTTTGGGGGTTAGGGTTCAGGCTTTAGGGTTTGGGGTTTAGGGTTCGAGGTTGGGCCCTTTGCGTGACGAGCAAGCCCCCCCACCCCGGCAAAAGGGGACATCGGCCCGTGAAGGTACTCCAAGAAGCACGAGCCACCCTAAACCCTGAAGCCTAAGCCCGAAGCCCTAAACTCGAAACCCTAAGCCCCTAAATCCTGAACCCAGTTCCCTGCACCTGAAACACCCCAGACCAACCCCGCCCCCGCCCCCCCCCCCACCCCCCCCCACCCCCCCTCCCACAAATTGCCCCTCTGAGTTCTTGACGTTTCTCGTCACGGTGCACATCTTCCTCAGCTTCTTATGTCTGGACCGGAAAAGGGCTTAGGGTTTATAGGGTTTAGGGATTGGGGTTTATGGGGTTTATAGGGTTCATAGGGTTTATAGGGTTTATAGGGTGTATAGGGTTCATAGGGTTCATAGGGTTCATAGGGTTTATAGGGTTTATAGGGTTTATAGGGTTTATGGGGTTTATGGGGTTCATAGGGTTTATGGGGTTTAAAGGGTTTATGGGGTTTACAGGGTTTATGGGGTTTATCGGGTTTATAGGGTTACAGGGTTTATCGGCGGGGCTATTCGCTTAGGGTCCCGTTATAATTGCACGAGAAGACCACCCAAAAAAAGAGCATAGTTTAATTCTTAGCCCAGAGCCCCGAGCAGACTCCTCAACCGCCCCTAGGTCCGATATCGGAATCCTGTAAATCCTGAGGCCCTCAATCTTGCCTCTAACCCTAAGTCCTGGTTTCCTAGCCTTGGATGTTTTGAGCCTTGCAAGAGACACCGTTTTGGTCGTCCGGTTTCGAGGGGTTTGGGTCTATAGAAATTGAAAGCCTAAGCCCTGAACCCTAAACCCTAAACATATGTGTATTGGTCTGCCATGTCCTTCCGAGTGGTCAAGATGGTCCCTGACATTGGAGCTCGGAAAAAGTGGGGTGTGCTAAACCCTAAACCCTAAACCCTAAACCCTAAACCCTAAACCCTAAACCCTAAAGTGGCCGGTTCCCTTCAGGTTTGCGAGGGTGGAGGTGCCCTGTCAAGGGTGCTCAAGGGTGCTCAAGTCTCCAGGGCCTCTAATCCCTCTCAGCCAGGGTCATCTTTTGTGTTGAGGCCTTGCAGGGCCTTGTAAACGGCAGCTTTTTCCCAATTTTTCAGGCAGAATGGGATCGGAGACCCCCCTTGATTAAGATCCCCTTATAAACGGGAAAGTTCAGGCTCCCAAGCATTCTAAGGGCCTCTCGGATTTGGGTGCTGCCTGAGCTTTTTGGAACCTTTTGGGGCCTGCGCCTTTACGGGCTGGGTGTTTCGGCGTTCTTGTTGCTCAAGGCCTGGGCAATTTGGCGCCTCGGGGAGCCCTCCTGCCTGGGCCTTTTTGTGTGGCGACCTAGTGCGGGTTGGGCAGCACCCCCTGCCCAAACTTTTGGGGCCTTTTTTGTGGACCCTCTTGGGGACAGACCTCATCCACAGTGGTGTGGATGTTGCTCTTGGTAGCTTTTGAGGTCCTGGGCTTGACTCTGAGTATTGAACATTGAACATGTTTTGAGAGGGAGAGGAGTGCTATTGTACATGCCTCGTCCATAAGGATACAGATAGAATTCCTGCATGGGCCTTCTGGACCCTCGAGGGGGGCCCTCCTGCCTGGGCCTTCTGGAGATTTTGGAGGTCAGGGGGGGGGGGGGTCGCTCACAATCAAGTCCAAGAAGATCCCTAAACCCGCCAAGGTTAGAATGTGAGTAGGTGGGTCGGGCGGGAGCATTGCGTATTGGCTCGCACCACAACATACGCCTGCGTGGTGGTGCGCACGGAAAGGTGTGCAAGCCCTGAACCCCAAACCCCTAGCCCTAAACCCTAAACCCTTAGCCCCCAAACTCCTACCTCAGCGGGGCAAAGCAACAAAACCCTAAACCCTTCCGCGGTGGCAACCGAAGCTCCTGGTGGCCCTGGTCCCCCTAAAATGCTCGCACCTTCCGGGCGGGGCGACTTCCGAACCTAAACAAAACAGAGGGATTTAGGGTTGAGGGTTGAGGGTCGAGGGTTGAGGGTGTATGCGTTTGGGGTTTAGGGTTTAGGGTTTAGGGTTTAGGGGTTTAGGGTTTAGGGTTTAGGGTTTAGGGTTTAGGGGTTTAGGGGCTTAGGGTCGAAGCCTCGGCCTGCCTTGAGAATGCTTGGGACGTCAACAAAGGGTGCCGCCTGGAAGGCTGTCTACGCACGAGAGCGCGCCTCGCATGACGCACCCGGACTCCCAACCTCTAAAAACCTTAGGGTTTAGGGTTTAGGGTTTAGGGTTTAGGGTTTAGGGTTTAGGGTTTAGGGTTTAGGGTTTAGGGTTTAGGGGTAAGCATAAACCGAAACCCCCGAAACCCTAGGCCCTAAGCCCAAACCCCAAGTAAAGCTCGAAAGCCCTGAAGCCTAAACCCTTGCCAGGAGCTGCACTGCTTGGGCTCTGAAGCGCTCCAGCAGCCGATCTGCTCAGAGGGGTTCGGGGTCTGGGGGGCTTAGGGGCTTTCGGGTTTAGGGTTGAGGGGTTTACGGAGTTTACGGAGTTTACCGGGCTCAGAGAGTTTAGTGTTCAGAGTCCCAGGAGTTGCCAAGTTTTCAATGATTTTCGGGGCTTCCCGGCCCTCAGGGGCTTTAGGTGCGTCGGGGTTGAGGGGTTTCAGGGGTTGGGGTTGAGGGTCAGGTTTATAGGACCACGACTTCTAGCACCTAAACCCTAAACCCTAAACCCTAAACCCTAAACCCTAAACCCTAAACCCTAAACCCTAAACCCTAAACCCTAAACCCTAAACCTCGAAAGTCTCCTGCGGTCTGGCACTTGCTGCCTTCAATTCAAGTCCTAGCAATCCAAGGAACCCTCACATCTCAAGCCATGGTTTCAGGGAAAAGAGGGCTTGGGGCACCTGTATTCCCTGAACCCTCAAAAGTATTAAAGGTATCCCTATAAATAAATAAATAAATATATATATATATATATAAGTATAGTACTATACGTAAGAAAATACATATACATATATATATATATATATACATTATGTATATATATATATATACACATACATACATGTACCAGCATAAAGTTTCTATCAGAACCACCCCGCCCCCCCCCCCCCCCCCCCCCCCAGGACGCGCATGCTCGGTGAGTGGCGGAGGATGCCAGAACTCGTCCGGACCCTGGAGTCGTCCAGAGATGCCAGGACGGTTTCAATAAATTCTCCAACCTCGCAACCCGTAGTCGCACAACCCCAGGCCCCGTATGCCGTGTTTAGGGCTTAGGGTTTCGGTTTTGGACGGGTTTCGGGGCTTTTTGGGGGGTTTAGGGTTGAAAGGGGTCTGGGGTTTAGGGGTTCAGGGTCCCAAAATTCCTCAGCAGATAAGCACTTCGACACTCTGCTACGAGTAGCTTTGCTCCCGATACTCTCCGCGGGGCCAGTTCTCCTCCTTTCTCCTCGCAGCAGACCCCGCAGTCCAAATTAGTTTGACCATCAACACCAAGCCTTCAAGGGTTTAGGGTTTAGGGTTTAGGGTTTAGGGTTTAGGGTTTAGGATTTAGGGTTTAGGTTTAGGGTTTAGGGTTTACCCGAAAAGCTACATTCTGAGATGGCCACGGGCCTCAGCCTCAGGCCCGAGCAGCAGGTTTTTCTTTTTCTACTCAAAGCTCGCGCGAAAAAGCCATGGGCAGCAATGTTTCGCAGGTCGAGGTGGAGGTCGGCCCTGGCATGACGCAGGTTTCTATATCCCCCCTTGGGAATCATTTTTTGTTTTTCTTTGTATAAAACCCAAGAGGACATTAAGAATGTTATTTGTATTAAGCTTCTAAGGGAGTATCAGTATAGGTTTTGGGTCACAAGACTTATGGTTCGATCTCGGAGTCCATCAAAGAGAACGGCGAAGCCATTGCGGTGATGTCCCGATCTTTCTGTGGAACGGCCACCACAGCTCCGGAAGGTACGATGGATTGGGTCGTGGGGCCATCCTTAAGGGAGAAATGGGATGACCCCAAGCGCAAGAGCATCTTCGATTGGATGATGAAGATGGAGTGGTCCATGGTCGCTGCTCACGGTGGCTTTGCGGTAGCTGGGCTGAAACCGGATGGCAGCATGGGGGCTGTGGTGCTTGTGGCTCTGTACTCGGACGGTATCCCTTCAGGACTTTCGAGCCACCTCGAACAGGTGCGAGGCTTCTTTGCAGGAGGCTTGCCACCCAAGAGCGATGCAGGCGAAGCCTTCTGGGCAATGAAAACCAGGGCTTTTGCAGCTCAAGATGCCCTCGAAGAGGTGAAGGGCAAGTATGTTAAGGGTCCTCATGCCCATGTGAAGGTTGTGGCAGTGGATCCGGATGCACAAGGAATGGGCTTCTGTGGAAAGTTGATGCGCTTTGTGAGCGCTTGGGCGGACAGCCGACACCTGCCGCTTTGGCTGGAGACTTCGGGCGAGAGGAATGTGGCCATCTATGAGCGCTTCGGCTACAAGACCACGGAGCGCTTCGACATCAAATGCGAGACCTCTGAGTCAAAGGAGGACATCCACCATGGCGAGTTCGGCATGCTTCGCTCTCCCCAGTGATGCCACAGCCACGTTTACAAGATTGCCCGTCGGCTTGATGGGCCTTCGACGTGAACAAAGTCAGAACTGGGTTTAGGGTTTAGGGTTTAGGATTTAGGGTTTAGGATTTAGGGTTTAGGGTTCTAAGGTTCTAAGGTTCTAGGGTTCTAGGCTTCTAGGCTTCTAGGCTTCTAGGCTTCTAGGGTTGGTTCTAGGGTTCTAGGGTTCTAGGGTTCTAGGGTTCTAGGGTTCTAGGTTTAGGGTTTAGGGTTTAGGGTTCTGTGATGTACTCTTAGCAGTCCGACCACTCTGAGAAAAGCTCGCAGTGGCTTCCGATGGGAAACACACTCACTCAGAGACTTAATCCAAAAGGTCCGGCAGATTTTCCGTGGCATCCATGCTAGCCAGAATAAACGGAATAAGGCTAGTGATCGTCACAAGCATATCAACAATAGATCATACGTAGTGACAACAGTGAAAATGTTCGTCGTAGTAAAAAAAGAGCCACACTGATAGTAATACTCTCGACGATAAGAACAACACTGCCATAAATACATACATATACATATTCAATGTGTTGTCCATACTATACAGCGGTTAGGACTGAATTCGGGTCAGTTGGTGGAGAGTGGAAGGTCGAGGGTGTAGGGTTTGTGGTTGAATCTTCAGGGTGTAGCACGGTTACGAGCATTCACTTAAGTGGGCCTGACAAGGTGTGTGCCGTGGGTCCTAGCACCACTGGTACCGTAGCAACTTAGCAGTCGTATTGCTGTCGAACATGTTTCTCCAGAAATGGTCTCAGCATCAAACTCTAGACCATGACCCACATCACTAACCCCCAGTTAAACCCCCGAACTCGAGGTCGGAAAGGTGTATTGGTTTCGGCTTGTGTTTACCTGAGACCGATCTGAAGCACTCCGCTGCGCAAGGGCAAGTATTGGGTTCCATGCCGTACATACAAAAAGATCTGAGCCGAAACCCTACACCCTAAACCTCATAACCCCTAAACCCTGAGCCCTTGAGAATCCTTAATCCCCATACAGCCTCTACACCTAAAGGGTGGGTTCCGGCACATTAGATTATAGATTTTATGGTTTACATCCCAGAAAGCGTCAGATATGATGTCTCATGTTGATTCGAATGGGTCTTACGGTTAACCTGGAAGCTCTCAGATGCACTTAGAGGGCTTGGGGTTCAGGTGTGCGGGCTTCGTTAAGCTGTAGCATTCGTTTACTTTATGCTTGCTTAGTCTCCCGAAACCCTGACCCTAAACCCTAAACCCTAAACCCTTTTAGGCTTCAGGTAGATCTGTTTGCTTTAGGGTGAGCTTTCAGTTTATGCCTAGCACTTTGGCTGATATCGCGCAGAAAGCAGTGGAGCTCTGGCTCGCAGCTTTCATGGTTTAGGGTTTAGGGTTTAGGGTTTAGGGTTTAGGGTTTAGGGTTTAGGGTTTAGGGTTTAGGGGAATCTACTTAGGTTTCAGGGCTCGGGCTCGGGGATTCATGGCATGGGTGCAGCAGTTTATGGCTTTAGGGCTGCTTCGTTTGGAGACCGTAAAAGCAGTCGGACGACATGTTTTGACATGGTCGCCCAGCACCTTCAACCCGAAACTCCTGCTCTCCTCACCCTAAACCCTAAACACCTAAACCACAAAACGCTCCTAACAAAAAGCAAAAAACTGAATCTGAATCTCTGAACCCTGGACCCTAAACACTAAACCCCCTAGAAACCCTACCATTTTGAACCTTTTGTAAACCCAAAGAAACTATACCCTATTTAAACCCCCAAAACCCTAAACCCCAAACCCTAATCCCCAAACCCTAAACCCTAAACCCCGACGCCTCGTCCCTCACCCTCTGCCCAGGCATCGAAACAGGCGAAGCCACAAGAGTGGTCGAGTCACAGCTGTCCCTACCCACGAGGCCCGCTCAAGATGGGTTTAGGGCTTAGGGTTTAGGGTTTAGGGTTTCGGGTTTAGGGTTTAGGGCTTGGGCTGTGTGGGTCACGGGGGCCTGCTCTTGGCGTAATTTGGTGTTGTTGGTGTTTTGGGTGTTTGGCTTCTTGGGCTTCTTGGGTTGTGGCTTAGGGCTTAAGTACATGGCTGTAACGATTCGGTGCGGTACGGTATTTCATTTGCCGGTTTTACTCCTGATATTATATATATATATATATTGATTTATTTATTTTTATTTTTATTTTTTTTTTGGGGGGGGGGGGTTGGTAAGTGACCACCCCTACTTTACCCCCATTCTTGGCCCCCCACCATCCCTAGCCCCGCGACCCCCAAGCCACCACCACCCACCCACCCCTACCACCCCCCACCATCCACCGCGGGGTGGTAGGGCCGGTAGGGGTGGGGTGGTAGGGGTGGTAGTAGGGGTGGTAGTAGGGAGGTACTTTTCGGTACTGCGGCTGCCAAATCTAACCAGACCGGTGCGGATTACGAGATTTTTTTCGATACGGCCCAAAAAGTATGGTTGACGCAGCCATGTAAATATGATTTGGGTCTTAAGGTTCTTTGCACCTTGGGGGCACTCAATGCTGGTTTAGGGCTTTCGGTTTTCGAAGGTTAGTTGCTCCCTTGTATGGTCCCTTACCTTCCGTAACAGGGTTCAGGGGCCCTTGGATTTTTTAGGTAGATACGGGGTCCCAGTTTAAGGGCTCATACGAAGGGACCATGTAATTCTGATCCCCAAAACCTAAACCCCAAATCCTAATAAGAATCCTAAACCCTAAGGAGTTTTGGAGTTTGGGTGCAGAGTTTGCTTGAGTTTCTGCTTTCAGGCTCGTTGCTGGGTCCAGAACCTTCTCAATCACCTTGACAGATTCCACCCCCCCCAAGTCCGGTTTAGGGTTTAGGGTTTAGGGTTTAGGGTTTAGGGTTTAGGGTTTAGGGTTTAGGGTTTAGGGTTTAGGGTTTAGGGTTTAGGGTTTAGGGTTTAGGGTTTAGGGTTTAGGTTCTAAACCCTAAACCTTAAACCCCGAACCCTGAACCCCCAAACTCAAATGGAACCAAAACCTTGCAGCCTTTCAAGGCCCTATGCTGAAACCCCGAAACTCCAAAACCCCCCCAAACCCGAAACTCGAAAGGGCCACAACCTGGGCCACAACCCTACGACCCCGTAACCCTAAAAGCCCCCCATCCTAAGCCCTAAAAACCCTGAAGCCCCAAAACCCTAAAGCCCTTCCGAACCCAGTAGGCACCTAAACGCCCCTCCCAGAACACCCCCCCCCCCCCTCCCCCAAAAAAACGAAGCAACAACAATGCCAACATTAATAAGAACATCTTTGTTGTGAATCAGAATACTAAGGTCCTCAACTAGGGTACAGGCTGTTAACCCCTAAGCCCTGAACCCTAAAACCTAAACCCTGAACCCTAAACCCTGAGCCCTAAACCCCAAACCCCCAAACCCTAAACCCTAAACCCTGAACCCTAAACCCTAAACCCTGAACCCCAAACCCTCAACCCTCAACTCACAACACTATCGGGACCCCTTCAATGCCTCGCACGAAGGTGCTGTGGTGCTCTGCCAGGGCCGGTACTACGAAGCTCTGGCCAAGGGCCAAGGGTGCGGGCTTTCGTGTGTTCAAGACTGAAGGTTTAGGGATTTAGGGTTTAGGGCTACGGGTTTGGGTCCAGGGGTTAAGGGAGGAGTGGCGGCGAGTGGTTGCGGGCTTAGGGTGAGCTGGGGGGATTTCGGAGCCGGTTTGGGGTGTCTTGCGGGCTGCAAATCGGAGGGCGAATCCGAGGAATTCGGAACTTTCATGTGGGTTTAGGGTTTAGGGTTTAGGGTTGAGGGTTTAAACTTTCATGCGGGGATTTCCGAAATTCGGGGGACCTTATTTGGTGTCCTTATTGTACCCGGATCCTACTATGTGGGGGACTATATTCGGGGTCCCCTTTTTTCGTAAACCCCCATGTGCTTGTCAGCTAATTCCACAGGCCAATGGTCTTGCCATGAAGGGTTTGCGAAAGAACGGAAGAGGCCCTAAACCCTAAACCCTAAACCCTAAACCCTAAACCCTAAACCCTAAACCCTAAACCCTAAACCCTAAACCCTAAACCCTAAACCCTAAACTCCAAGCCCCGGCGGCCAACTTTGCGGAATGGTGTGGGAAGGCACATGGTCGAGACCCTGGTATCCTAGTAAGTCAGCCCTTAGCCCTGAACCAGAGGGATCCCCCAACCCTAAGCCCGAATAGCCTTAAGCTGAACCCTAATACCCGAATACCCCAATATCCTAGTGCCGTAATGCCCCAAGACCTTCATACCCTCATGCCCTATACCCTGAATCGTGACGAAATTATGAAGTGCACGTCTTTTTGGAGCAAAGTGAGCAGAGACAACTGTTCAACCCTCAACCCTCAAACCTCAACCCTCAACCCTCAACCCTCAACCCTAAACCCTAAACCCTAAACCCTAAACCCTAAACCCTAAACCCTAAACCCTAAACCCCAAACCCAAACCCTCAACTTGGGCCCTGAAGCTTGAGGCTGCACTGAACACCTGCATGCCGACGAGCCCGCCCTAGCCTCAAGAAAAATGCGGAAGCCACTGGCTTAGGGTTTAGGGTTTAGGGTTTAGGGTTCAGGGTTTAGGGTTTAGGGTTTAGGGTTTAGGGTTTAGGTTTAGGGTTTAGGGTTTAGGGTTCAGTGTTTAGGGTTTAGGGTTTAGGGTTTAGGGACTGCTATTCGCGGCTCGAGTAAGAGGGGGGTGGGGGTTCTGGGTCTAGACGCTGGCCAGGGTTTAGGGTTTAGGGTTTAGGGTTTGGGGTTTGGGGTTTAGGGTTTAGGGTTTAGGGTTTAGGGTTTCGGGATCAGAGTTCAGGGACCCTAAACCCTGAACCCCATAGCCTATGGGCCTACGCGGTGGTTCAGCAACCACAAACCCCAAGGTGGTTGTGTAACGGACAGAGACGCACAACCAGAGACCATGGTGCTGAGAGCCGCGCAAGACCGTCACGGGAGTCACGGCGCGCTTCTCTACTCGGGTTTGGGTGTTTCGGGTCTTGCATTTAGGC